ACTGGGTACACCCTGAGAATCGTCCACCTCCTAGCTTTCTACAAGCATTTAACGATCTGAAAGTCTCTGTTAGAATTGTAGAGGCAGGATTAATCTTTTTTTGTAGCTGTTCAAACAAATCTACTACTGCAGCTTCAATATATCCCAATACTTTTGGGAAGATGACCATACCATACATACTCAGAGCAAATAGATCGAATCGTACTTTAGTGTCTGGATGACTCTGAATAAGTTCTTTAATGTTGGTCCAAGCAATGCCTTCGCTTTCGCCTTTTTGTTTTGTACGGGATGCCACCCATTCTTCTCGTACCCCGGCAATCTTTGCTAATTTAACTCGAAAGGGTTGAGTTTTAATTGACTTTGAATAGATTCGATTCTCCAAAGCCCCTTCTATATGTAGCAAAGTTGTGTACTCTTCAATAGTAGGGACCAAGTCCTCCTTATTGAGAGTGAAGCAATTGTACCCTGGATTCCAGAATTGAATTAGGGCTCTGAGTAATTCATCATCAACTTCGACATAGAGCAAATATGGGATGTCTCCGTAAGTCTGATAAAACTGCAATTTTTTTGTTTGAATCCCAACTTTCCCAAATGCTTCGCAAATCTTGCATATCATTTCTTTTTAGCGAAACTGGAGCATAACTGGCCAAGTCAGATACATAATCATCCTGCAGACTGTCTCCTCCTAGTCTTTGTAAGTCCTCAGCCCACTGTCTTACTTCTGAGTTTAGAATTATTTGATTTGAACACTTTTTATCCATGGATGAAAGCTTTCCAATGAGACAATTAACACGAGGATCAATGTCTTTTATCCTGTATGATGCTATGCAAACAGAAAAAATAAAGAACACACAAAAAGAAATGAATTAGTTTACATAATAAAGAAATTTAATAATAATATCTAATAAATATTTTTATTTAAACATGCTTTTTCATAATTTAAATAATTTAAATATACATGTAATTTAATCAGTAAGAAAATAAATAAATTAAAAGGAAAGCTAGAATTCATTTCTCCTGTGTGTACACCTATTTTGGACAAAATTTCAGCATGGCTTCAGATCGGAAGAGTTTCTAGGGTTTATTATATGTAAGGCTTCAGTTCTAAGAATAAAGGTACCCGAATTGTCCTTGTTAGTGCCCCCTTGGGCTATTAACCCTCAATCCTAATCCATCACAGACTAAAGTGGATCGAGTTCAATTCGAGGGGACACATTTCTCTATGACTGACACGGAGAATAAATTCTCACGAAGACATAGAGCATATGAACCCCGAAAGTTACTTGCTAGGTCTGACACGGAGAATAAATTCTCACGAAGACGTCGCTTTCACTCCCACTTAAAAAGGACAAACTCAATTATAGAGCTTTATGTTATGCAATGCAAGTGTTGTGTGTGAGGAGAAATGTTCAAACAACAAACAGAAAAATAAAATAAAAAAAATATCTAAATAAAATAAAAAAATAATTTGAAAGAAAATAATTAAAAATTAAATATAAGAATTTTAATTTCTAACTGATAGAGACAATTTATAATTGGTTTTAAAGTTTGACCAGTCCCCAACGGAGTCGCCAAGCTGTCGTAACCGGTTTTCGTCCAGGTACGAAATATTTATTTGGCGGTAAAATTGATGTGAATAAATGGTTTTTGAAAATAATTTGGGAGTCGCCATCGGCCTTTTGGGTTAGGTAGGTCGAATACCTAAAAAATTATCTTTTAAAAGAGTTTTAAGAAAACATCAGTTAAAAGATAAATTGATCTGCGTTTTAACCAAAAATTTGTTCTTTTTAATAATAAAAAGGGATTCGTGGTCGGTTACGTTTAGGGAAGGATAAGCACCCCTACAACGCCCAAAATTGGCACTTTTTAATTATAAATTGTCTCTATTATTAGAAATTAAAAAAATTTAAAATATATTTAATTTATAATCCTATTATTTCAAAATTATATAAAAAATATTTAAAAATATCGGAAAAATGACTTCTAAGTGCCTTAAGACAGCTCTTTTCTTTGATATTAATAAATATTAATTTAAATAAAATTAAATAATAATTTTTTATAGCATTTATTTCTAAAATACCAGAATAGGACATCCAGTTGTATTAAGACTGCCCTTTTCTTCGATATTGAAATATAAATATTAAAATTATTTTATTTAAAAAAATAAAACAAAATAAATTATTATTTATTATATATATATTTATGACTACATAATAATAATAAAAATATTTAAATATATAAACAAGTAAAATTAAAACAATAAAAATACAATTAGAACTATATATTTAAAAGCAGTAAAATAAATGAAAATATTTATAATTAGTGATTAAATTATATTAAAATTAAAATTAAATACCTAATTCATAATTAATCAAAATTATAGGGATTAAACATGCTATTTTCTTATTTATTAATTTAGTGACTAAAATAAAATTATATAAAATTCAGATATTAGAATAAAATAAATTAAAACATACTATTCAGATTAAAATATTAATTATTTAAAATAACGGACTAAATCTGTTATTTACCCTAAATATATTATTTTAATATAAAGGACTAAAATAAATAAAATTAAAATTAAAGATCTGAATTAAAAGGATTATAAACTCGATTTAGTGACTAAAATGTAAGGATTACAAATTCAAGGGATGGCGGACGGGATTTAACAATTAAAAATTACACAAATAGCCCTCCCCGAAACGACGTCGTTCGGGAAGGGCTATTTAAAGCCAAATCCGGATGGCCCTTCGGGCCATATCTCATTTTTTTTTCATTTCTCTCTCTAACTGAGAGAGAATAAAAATTCTCCCTTCTCTCTAGCTTCCCTCATCGGAGGGAAGCCGGTCACCGGACGGCAGCCGTCTGCCGCCGTGACTCTCACCGCCGGCCACCGCATCCGGTGGCAAGAAAAATTTATTTTTACACCATTATGTAGATCGGACCGTCCTAATGACGGTTCCGGTGTTCCTTTCTTTTAAAACGCTCCTAATCGGAGCAAATCTAATAAAGTACCTTCGATTTTCGAAGGTTTTGGTGATGTTTGAAGAGGTCCGGTGATCGTAGCTTCCTCGGTAAGCTTCTCTCCTCCCTTTTCTTTTGTTTTTGGTTGCTGGTTGTTGTGAGTTGGTTTCTATTTTTGTATCTTTGCTCTCGGTTTCTGTCTCTCTCGGTCTGTTTTTTTTCTTTGCAGATGGGGTGATGGCTTTATAGCCATCACCGGTGTGGCCATCGGACCGGGTAAAAGAGTACCCTTCGGTGAGTCACCGGACTCCCAGTGGTGACTCACCCCATGGCCATAACGTGGACGGCTGGCGTTGGAACTTCTGGAGCCTTCAGTTGGGGCGTGGCAGCGGCTGGAGCGACGTGGAGCGGCGGCAGCTGGTGTAGTCCCTAGGGTATCATAACCCTAAGGTTTCGTCTGGCACCATCTGGACCGTTGGATCTAAGTTAGATCCAACGGCTGAGAAGCAAAGCGGCGGCTGGCTGAGATATAAACCCTAAATGGGTTTTAGGGTTTTTTTTGTTTTGTTTGGGCCAGTCTGTTGGGCCTCGATTTGGGTTTTGTAATATTAATAAATAATATATATTAATAATAATAATAATAATAATAATTATAATTATAATAAATAATAATAAAAATGGGTAAAAAAATTTAATATCTTCACCATGGACTGAAAAAAAGATAACGAAACAAGTTGTGAAGTCAACGTCATAGAGAGTTAAACCATGTTCAAACACTTTGTTTGAAGTCTTGGATAATAACTTAAATAGGATTGTCGATCTAAATGTAAAGACGTGTAGTTGTATGAAATGGCAACATCTGGTTATTCGTGTGGCCATGTTATAAAAGTTGCTCTTCATCTAAACTAAGATGATTCAAGCGCATACGCTATGGATTGCTACACTATAGAAGTATATCGACAGACTTGTACCGATATTGTCTACCCTATTCCACATCCTTCTAAGTGAGACATACCATATGACTTATAAACAATTTTGCCACCATTCATGGACAGAAGGCTACCTGGCCGACCAAAAAAATCATGATCGTATACCGTCTAAGGGTGAAGAGAAGAAGATATCGACATGTAGACGGTGCAAGGAAAGTGGTCATACAAGGTTAACATGTGGATCACCAGTGCCATCACAATCATCTTTTCCTCCACCAAAATATGAATCTTCATCAAAATCCAAAGCTCATATGGTGCCAAGTAAAGGAAAATCAAAATCGCAATCAAAATCCCAATCACAATCGCCTTCACCTTTTGGTACTATTAACTTAGGTGATTTTTAGATGCAAACGTTGTATTATGTATTCATGATTCTATAACACTTATTATATTACTATATTAACAACTTTATGTATATTTTATGTGTGGATGCATACATTTTTGCAGTTAAGCATGCATTATTAAGTTGTACTCATGACATCACTTGATTCATTCTCACATATCAGGATTGTTGTCTGTTATCTTTTTGAAGGTGTTTGCCTTGAATGTGAAACTAGAAAAAAAGATGGTTATTGTGAACTTCTCCAGACGCTTGAACTTTAGTTTTGTAATAACTAAACAAGTATGATTAGTAGGAAAATTTGCCTAGTGAAAATTTGCAACTCGAAAATTGAATTCGCAACATGAAAATTGAATTCGAAAATTCACAACACGAAAATCGCAACTCGATATTAAAATTCGCAACTCGAAAATCGAATTCGCAACTCGAAAATGAAATTCGCAACCTTTAATGGGTCTTTTAATAGTTTGCCTTCAACATAATACAGATTCAATTATTGTACAAATCTATCAAAATAAGGCATCATATCTTTCTCACTAGTTCAAGTATTTCCAAGCAAAACCATAGGAAAATATAGTACTTCTCAACCAGGTATGTCAAAAGATACAAACACCATCAAATGAAAGAATATTGGATCCGACACCTGAGTCTAAAGGGTACACTTTCCCAGCAAGGGACTCATTACAAGTACCTTTTGTACAGAAAACTTAAACCTTGTATTCTTCAACATGCATCCGCTTTGTAAATGACCATTTGTTCCCCGTAATTACAAGGCATACACCTATAATCACCCATATCACACACTGTTAAATTAACAATACATCTAAAAGTTGCTTTGATAAAAAGAGAAGCATTATGCACATAAGTGTCGAAAATGAATGGCACGACTATGGATAAGAATTCAACTATTTTTTCATATGGAAATGTAATCTCTCTTAAGCATTCTTGAACCACAACTAATGATATAACATGAAAAAAAAGGTGGGAAAGGGGGATCGGCTGCAAACCATGCAAGCTTGAAGGATCTAGTATGGCATCAGGTCTCATGCTCAAGAACAACAATGCATCACCCATTTTAGGCTTCAATGCAAGACCCTATTTACCATAATCAGACAATTCATTCCACCATGGCACAACACTAATATTTCCCTTGGCTGTAGGAAATATTGTCTCACCCCCTTCTTCAACATCAGACCTGTACATCAGTAGCATAAATTTTGGTAAGAGGTAACAAATCCTTCTTTTTTTTAATATAGCAAGAAGTCTATGCAACACTTGATTAGGTGTGGAATGCATCATAAACATGAAGAAAGCCTGCGAACATACAAATACATAAGCATAATAGCCATCATCTGGTTACAAATTCCCAAAACACTTTTACACTTTCCCAAAGAAATAAGATGAAAGTAATGAACTAAGACAAAAGGAAATTCTCACATGGTCATACTGTCGCATATCAACCACTGGATGTAGGTAGGCAACATCTCGCATATATCTCTCTAGCCATAACATGTCAAAACCACAACTCTACTGCACCTATATCTCTATCTGTCGAAGGTAGAAACTGATTGCCTCATCTCGTCATACGTTCCAAGCACATGCATACAAACAGACCACAATCCCCTCTGGTTATTGACGCTTGTTGTGGCGTTGTCTCGTCTCTCATCATTGTAACTTTTAACTTCTTCGGCTTCTCGTTTCCTGAATTACTCCAGTAAGCAATCGCATCCAAGTATTTAGACAAAAGATCAATCCATCCCCTACAAATAATATCTTCCAAATCAGACAATGGTATGTAATTCAACATGCTGTCATATACTATCATCTTTAGTGATGGGAGCTGAAGCTCGACGAGAAACTAATGACGACGTTCCATAATAGGGATAAACACCTACAATATTAAATAAATAATGCTTCAACTGCGCACATCAAATAAATTTGATGAACACCTTTAAATATGCAAAAATAAATACTAACCTTATTGACCTCCCACCAATCAGGATAAATGATAGTTTTGCCATTACCTAACGTATATGAAGCATCTTTTTGATCCTGCAAGTGAGCTGAGTGAAAAGACGAATGTATAATAGTCCATCACGTCTTTTTTAGTTTCTTCAATTTTCTTAAAATAAGAAGTTATGTTACCCATGCATCAATATGTTGTTTATAAAAAAAATACATCTATTAGTGAATTTAATAGATTAAAAAAATACTCAAAATCAATATAAAAAGAATATAATACTTACTCCCATTCGAAATAGTCATTATCTTCAACCCCAAATAAAACACCCCACCAAGACCGCTCAAGAAACAAATGTGTATTGTCGATTTTGCATATGTTGGTGAAGCACCCCTTGCTCCGCTCATGTAGATAAAAATCAACTGAGGTCTTAGCCCAAACGGTATTATCCTTAACTGTGTCTGATAGTGTACATATCTTTTGCTGAGGAATGGTACTTATCGGTAACTGATACGAAAGCCATATCATATCCAACATACCGGGAACAAGAGGGGGTTTACCAATATGTCTACATAATATGGAATGTGGATCCTAAACGATGCGGGGTGGATCCTGAACGATGGGCGGTGGATCCTGAACAATGGGAGGGGCCTCTTGAATGATAAGAGGTGAATCATGAACAATGGTAGGTGGATCAGGCTTCTTCTTATGCAGTCTTGGAACTATTAGGGTGAAATGAGACGTAATGGCAGGTCCACGACGTCTGATGCGTGAACCTCGTCGTGCAAGAAAAACGTCTGGCTCGGAATTATAGTGGTCATCATGTAACATATTATCATCGGGCCTCTAAAAATAAATTAATACATAAATCAGTAAATAAATAAATAATGTCGAAAAAATGTTATTTGCATTTTTAGTATAGTGTTTTTTATAAAATTAAACAAACTTACCTCCTCGCGTAAAATACGCATCTCATTCTGCAACGATGAAACAATCTCACGTAGAGCACCTACCTCATCACGTAAAGCATCTACCTCACCACGTAAAATACCATTGCCATTACGTAAAGCATCTACCTCACCACGTAAAGCACCTACCTCATCACATAAAGCACCATTGTCATCATGTAAAGCACCGACCTCATCACATAAAGCACTGACCTCATCACGTAAAGCACCTAACTCATCCCGTAGAGGTGGAGAACGGGGAGATAAATATCATGGCATATTTGTCGATCGCCTATCATGAGGTGATGGTGGAGAAGAGGCTCAATGATGTGATGGAATAGGTGATGGATCTAGGTATCGAGGTGTAGAGTCGGCTAGAGCTGATGGATCTCGGTGTCGAGGTGTAGAATCAGCTCGATGAGGTGATGGATCTCGGTGTCGAAGTGGATAATCGACTCGATGAGGTGATGGATCTCGGTGTCGAAGTGGAGAATCGACTCGATGAGGTGATGGATCTCAGTGTTGAAGTGGAGAATCTACTCGATGAAAAAGTGGGGGTGCTCATCATCCGTCCCATAAAAAAACGCCTACTAGCTTGCCACCAATCCGTGGCAACCTCAGCCTCTGTGGGTATCAATGTCTGTAATAGATAGTTTTCCTCCTAACAATATAAAAGCCCAAATAAAGTCAAACGTCTACTAGTAATAAATTGATTATATATGGTAGTATTTGTGTTTACTTACATCATCGATCGTCATATATGGTAGTATCTCATCCCAATCCAACTGTCAGATCCTCTTCCAAGTAATAGCCCTAGGAATATCATTTGAATTCTTGATGGCATAAGTACGCATGCTGGGAAATGCCTTAAATATCCAAATCTACAATATAATACACAAACATTAATTTTAGTAATAGTTAAATAATTAATTTTGGAAACATTATATAGAAATTCTTACCTTAAAGGTCCAAATAAAGCCTACCAAAGTGTATTTGGAACCATGCCCATGCAAACTACGACGGTCCTCAAAGGCAGACAACAATTTTTTCCATGTAGCTTTCCATATATATGAACCCCACGGAAACACGTTCTATGCATCTAGGTCATCTACCAATAATATTAAATCCTTAAAAATAGGTTGTCTGCCCTGTTTTGCTAAAAAGTCGGCATACAAAAGTAACAAAAGGCATACTCAGACAACGTTAAGGTCATCTATTCGAGTAAAACCATCTTTAAGAAGTAATCTTCTCAAATCGTCGACGTGTAAAGTGGTCATCACCTTTGCCATGTCAGGAAAAACACGAAATAACCATGATGGGGTGGCGATATGACTAGTGTACGGACCTAATTCATTGTGTCATCCGAAACGTAGACCATTGACCAAGCAAAACTCCTCCCGCCCAAAACGAGTATACGCCGGTGGAAAATGAAACCATATCTCCTCATCGCCATGTGGTATCCCCTCAGGTAGATCGTTAGTCATGGTTTGTAGAAACAAATAAGTCAGCAAAGCATCTCCACTTGGATGTTGTACTTTCAGCCATGAACCAAAACAAGTATTCTCAAACAAATTTCTTTGGATAGGTGTAAGTGTCGACGCAATTGTAGTGGATAGGCTTAATTTATTCCTTAAAGTCAATGCAGCCGAAAAAAATTCCTAACAAAAACAATAAAAATATTAAGTTAGATATACTAATAATATACCAAAAACTACAAATTATACACAATAAACAGACATGATATTAAATAGGGAAAATATAGTCAAATATGTTTCGAACTATCCCGGTATTCACCCAAGTCATTATTCTATCATAGTTCACAAAATGCATCAGATAACATTCCAGAAGTAAGCATAAGTATAAACAAAAAGGACATCATATAGGTTTAGTGCAGGTTCAATGACAACATTCTAGAAGAGTAGTTTATTCTGAAACTTAAATTTGCAACACGAAAATCACAACTCGAAAATGAAATTCGCAACTCGAATTTCATTTTCGAGTTGTGATTTTCGTTTTCAAGTTGCGATTTTCGTGTTGCGAATTTAAGTTTCTTGAAATAAACTACTATTCTTCTGCAAATTGAAGCTTGAATGAAATGCATTACTTCAACCAAAAAACAAAGACAAATACTTACTTCACAGGGTTAAAGACTAAATTGTTTAGCAGCATTGACAGCAACCGAATGAATTTACTAAGAAATTTAAGTGAAATGGTTAATCTATATATTGAAATTACGAGTAAATTTAACGTCAATTTAAATATGAAAATGATTAATTATCTAATAATAATACAAAAATTTCAAAATAAAAATAATTAAAAAAAAACTAACCCTCGGTGGTTGATTTTTCATTTGTGGTCGTGAATGGTTGTGAGAGGGTGGCTGTGAAAGATGGAGATGGAGGGGGGTCACCGGAGATAGGGACGGATGTCACCGGAGATGGGGACGGATAGAGATGGGACTGAGTTGCGATTTAAGGGTTTAGGTTATGAGTTGCGATTTACGGGATATACTATATACATTTATATTGCGAAATTAAAAGTTGATTTTTGAAATTTAAATTCGCCTTGCGAATTTGAAAATTGAGTTGCGAAAACGAAATTCGCGTTACGAAATTGAAACTCGCTTTGCGAATTAGAAAATCGAGTTGCGAAAACAAAACTCGTGTTGCGAATTTAAAAATCGAGTTGCGAAAAAGAAATTCGTGTTGCGAAATTGTTAAATTCTAGTTTCGAATTCGTCTTCTGTGTGCGAATTCCAAATTTTATGTTGCGAATTCGGAAACTGTGTTGCAAAATTGGCTTTGGTGTTGCGAATTCAGTAAATTGGCTTTCGTGTTGCGAATTCGAAACTGAATTGCGAATTCATTGGTTATTTTTGTAAATTAAAAAAAAATTGGTTAAAATCATATATTATAAGACATTTTCGGTCACTCAAGTTATTTTCTCTAGAATATAATAAAAGGGGTAGTTGAGAGTTGAGACAAAACTTGTACAGAATAAAACGAGAAATAAATTATAATACTATGATAATTAGATATTAAACCTCTTTGGTTCCCTAATATACATAAAAAGGTAAACTATGCATTTAGTCACCCAATTATTATTAGATTTATTTTAATTATTAATTTATTTTTCCAAAATCATCATTATTCTTCATTTTGATTTCATTTAAGTCATTTATTGTTAAAAATTAACTTAACGCTGATACTAATGTGCCACTATGAAGTTCACTAAAAATATATCATATTAGTAATTTTACTAATTTTTAATAACGAGAGATCAAAATAAAACCAAAACGTAACATCAGTGATAATTTTTTTAAAAATAATCGAATGATTAAAATAAAACCAAAATAATAATTGAATTACTAAAAACATAATTTATCCTTTATAAAATTATTCTAGTTATTATTATATTTTATAAATACAAGAATATATATTCAACTATTTGACAATGAACGCTTATATATAAATGTCGCTCGAATCAAAACCTCAAAGGATAACAACAAATCCTTTAATCATTGAAGTCATTTCATTCATGTTATTATTATTTTTTTATAATTACATGAATTTAAAATAAAATTAACAAAAATTCTGATTAAAATTAGAAAGATAAATAAAGATTCAAGTAATAAATAACACATACTTAAAATAAACCATATTCATTTATTCTGGTAATTCAATCTAAATCATAAGGAATGAATAACACATTTAAAATCATGTACCTAAAATTTACTTATATAATAAAAGATGAGGAATGAATTAATAATTCCCATGTATAGAGTTTATTAGCCTAGCATGCTTTCATTCTTAGCTATGTTAAGTAGAGTAATTGTCAGCTGTTCCTCAACAATGGTACAACATATAATAATTATAAGTTGCCATCAAAAGTTCTTTAGGATCTTCTCTCTCGAAACTCCATCTGCCACTAGTATTGAACTCGCTTCCTGCAAAAACCGACAAAGTGATCCACTGGTTACCAACATTCACCTTAAATACAAAAGAAAACAGTTTTATGATGTTGCATACTCGAGTATTAAAAAAATTGTTGGTAATGGCGACTGATATCGGAAAACTAAGAATAATGAAATGCAATCTCGGTCCGTGATGATGGATAGGCAGATATGATCATCCCCTACCTCGATTCATTGCCTGGCATTGTGAAGTGAAAACTACACTGGCTTCAATCACTACATGAAGCACTGAGCTTCTTCATACTCTCATTCAAGGAAATAGCCCCTAATCTTTCGACAAGGTTACCTTCATAGTTCCATCTCTCAGCCATATACATTCATCTAGCAGTTTAAGATTTCATTTCAAGCGTATGCTATAAATAACTGAAGAACGCAATACTCAGGCCCAATGTTCCATAAACAAGTCTTTACATATGGAAGAATATAACAGCACCCAAATATTTGGCATAGTGGTAAGTGCATATATTGATTAAAGTTCAGATCCCAAACATCTCTATTAGTAGGTCAAGATAACCTATAGTATTATGATTTAAATGAAGAAGTTGTCTTATTATTATCAAAGAAAATAGCCATACAACACTTTTAAAATGCTATATAGAAATACAAGTATTCAAAAAGAGAAATAAATTGGTTTAACTTAAACTGATAGGAAGTCTCAAACTAAGGGTCATTGCTTTGTTACATATATATCAGATAGAATGTGGTGAACTAAGAGCCCTTCTCATGACCGAGTAAAATAACTGAAAAAACCAAAAACCGGAACCTAAATCCATTTTGATTTAATTTATACTTGATGTATGAAAATGACTAAAGTGATTACATTAGGTTCATATGGAAGATCCTATCAAGTGAAAATCAAGCTGGGTTCGACTTCCATCTTTTCTGGTTTTTTCTCAAGTATCTCGCCGGAAAATTTTTCCGATGGAGAAGAAACTGCCTCAGAGTCATTGGAGATGAAAGCAGACAGCTTAAAGTCAACTGACATGACAGGTTCTGTTCGGTTGGTTGAGGATGCACGCAAGAAAGTTGATAGCTGGATGGAACAGGGAGCTTCTTCCGGTTTTGTTGACTTTGGCAGAGGGTTTAGGACTCCTAGAACAAGAAGGGATGGGCAAAGCATTAATGAAGAGATGTCAGATCTGCACAGTTTTGGGAGTTTTAAAAAGGGAGAGTTTGCAGGTTTGAGAATTAGAAATTTGACTAATTCAAATTGTAATTCTCAGGCCCAAACAGTTGAAAGTAGTGAGCCCAATTCTCCATTAAAGAAGTTAATCCCTGCGGGTCCAGCAGTTCAAATTTCTGGTCTTGGGTTTTCAAGCCATAATCATTGTATGCCTCTTCCAAGCAGCCCAAAGGAGGCAGGAAAAAAGGGGTTCTATTCCACTGAGAAAATAGTGGAAGATGGCTAACACAGCATTGAAGACAGTTTTTGAGAGTTCTGTGGAAGGTACTAATTTGTTAAGTTTTGGGGGTGTTTTAGAAAATCGTTCAGCAGATACTTTATCTATGAAGAGTGCTCCGGTGGGAAGAAGGATGGTAAGAAGTTATAAGAGAGTCTATAAAAGATCCAGGGAGAGGAACATTTGGCTCGAAAGTGTGCAGGATATTAATTCTGCAATAGATGGGGTTTCATTCAAGCAGGAAGATAGTGTTGTTATTGTAAGATATGCACAATCTGAAATTCCCGAGGAGGATTATAATTCAGAAGAGGATCGTAATGATGCAGGGAACATGAGGATTAAAAGGAGATATAAAAGGCTCTTTATTATGGATGCTCTAGAACAGGTGAGTGTTTCCACAATTACATCCACAGAATTTCCCTTGCTGTTAAAGGAAGCTCTTGCAGCTTGGGAAATAAGCAAGATGTTGGGCATTTCATTTAAAGAAGGGAAGGAAGCTTTCTTGGATAAAATCAAGAACTTAGAGAAAGGTTTAACTACGGTTAGTTGAGTAGGTTGTTGAGTTGTGGAATAGCTTGGTATTAGTCTATTATTATGAGACCAAAGATAGCAATTGTGTCTTGGTATGTCAGGGGCTTGGGGAAAAAAGAGAAGCATCAAGCTGTTCAAAAAATGGTTTCCGAGAAGAAACCATCTTTTCTCTTTTTGTAAGAAACAAAAGTGGAGGTCTGTCCAAGGTCTTTTTTGAGAAGAAGTGGTCTGAACAATCTTCAAGGCTACATCGAATCTCCAGCAGAAGTTTCATCAGGGGGTTTACTAAGTTGTTGGAATGAAACTGTTTTTGAGGTAGAAAACCAGCAGATTCATAGGAGATTTATTGCTATTCTAGGTAAATTCAAATTGAATCAATTAAAATGTGGGTTTATCAATGTATATGTCCCTTCGGTGGAGGAAGAGAAAACAGGTTTTTTTGAGGAGCTTTGTTTGTTTTTAAATGGTATTACTATTCCGTTTTGTGTTGGAGGGTATTTTAATGCTTATTTAACAGAAGGGGAGAAGGATGGGAGAGCTCAAAACAGAAATTCGATGGAGATTTTCAGGCAGTTTGTTCATCAATCGGGTTTAATTGATATTCCATTAATTGGGGGAAGATTTACTTGGGGTAATAACTGGGAAGAACCTACTGTTGTTAGATTGGATAGGTTTTTGCTGAGTATTAATTTCTCTTCTGCATTTTCGGATATCACCTAACTTTTACTTCCGAGATCAATTTCTGACCACAATGCAATTTTGCTCCAGAGTGGGGGTGATAATTGGGGTAAGAAACCATTCAGATTGTTCAATTATTTAATGTATGAGTTCGGGTTTGATGAGAACGTTTAAGCTGCCATTAAAGAATGCAAGAATGGTCAGAGAAGAGCTGGTATTTTGAGCATTATTAGAAGCTCCAAATCAGCCATTAAAAACTGGTCTGGAACGAGAGATCAGTTTCCAGGTGCTGCCATTTCTGCTTTAGAAGTAAAGATTCATCAATTGGAGCAGGATTGTCAAGAACAGCAGGTTGTGAAGGGTCCAGAAACAGCAGTTGAATTGCGTTCTTTGAGATCAGAATTGTGGAGATTATATAGGATTGAAGAGCATATTTGGATACAAAACTCAAGAGTGAAATGGATAAAAGATGGTGATCGTAATACAAAAATTTTTCACACTTGTGCCACAATTAGGAGGAGATTGAATTCATTGAATGCTCTCAAGGTTAAAGCTGAAATTATTTATGATCCGATTCTAATCAAAGCGAGTGTCCGGGATCATTTTTTTGAAGCTTATAATTCAAAGTCTACTTTGGAAGTGGAAGAAATGAACCTGAATTTTATAAGAATCTCTTTAGAGCAGAGCATCACTTTAAAGAAGAGGTTTACGGAAAAAGAAGTGTGGGAGGCTTTGAATTCATGTGATAGCAACAAAGCGCCAGGACCGGATGGGTTGAATATAGGACTTTTCAAAAGGTTTTGGTCCACATTGAAAGACGGTATTCTGGAATTTTTTTCATAAATTCTATTTGGGAAAAATTGGGAGCATGGTATTAATCACACTTTCATAACCCTCATCCCAAAGGGTTCTAATATTGGCGGTTTAGATGATTTCAGACCTATTAGTTTAGTAGGTGGAATGTACAAGATCCTTTCGAAATGTCTTTCGAGAAGGTTGAGGAGTTGCATGGATGATGTTATTAGTGATTCGCAATTTGCCTTCGTTCCCGATCGACAAATCTTGGATTGCTCCTTTATAGCTAATGAAGGAATAGATTTTTGGAGAAAGAAAGGTTTGAAGTGATGCGTTTTTAAGGTTGATTTTAGGAAGGCTTATGATGCAGTGGATTGGGATATTCTTTTCAAAGTAATGGATAAAATGGGTTTTGGAGACAAATGGTGCAGTTGGATAAGAAGATGTGTGACTACAGCCTCAGTGTCAGTTTTGGTTAATGGTGTGCCCACAGAGGAATTTCCAATGACTAGAGGACTTAGTCAGGGCTGCTCCCTTTCCCCACTGTTGTTTAATTTTATAGCAGAGCTTCTTAATCTAATGCTCCATAAGGTTGTCTCTTTGGGGCTGTTCAGTGGTTTGGTAGTAGTTAAAGACGACGGTTCTTATATGTTATCTCATCTTCAATTTGCAGAAGCCCTAATAATTTTATGCAATGCATCCAAGACGCAAATTTTAAACATAAAGAGAGTTCTAAGAGTTTTTGAAGTTATGTCCGGTTTACATCTTAATCTCAGCAAAAGCAAGATATTTGGAATCAACATTGGTGAGGAATAAATCAAGGAGTGGGCAGATGATCTTGGGTGCGCAATGGGTACTCTCCCGTCTGATTAGTTAGGTCTGCCACTTGGAGCAAACAGAAATTCTTCTGCTTTGTTGGATCCGGTAGTTCAGAAATTTTTTAACATGTTATCCGGTTGGAAAGCAAGAACACTCTCTTTGGAAGGGAGATTGGTAATGTTGAAATCGGTATTGTGCTCTCTACCTACTTACTTTCTGTCTATGTTTAAAATTCCAGCAGCAGTGAATTCGAAGTTAAATTCCATTATGGCTATTTTTTATGGGGAGGTGTTGCAGAGTCTAAGAAAATACACTGGATAAACTGGTCTACAGTGTGTAAACCAAAAGGTTGTGGTGGTCTGGGTGTGCTGAACATTAATTTTATGAATAGGTCATTATTAGAGAAATGGTTTTGGAAGTTTGCTAATGATAGGGATTCAATTTGGAAGAAGATGATTTGTTCCAAATACAATCTGAACACTAATCTGATTTTTTTCAACAGCAAATTACCAAATAATGCTTCTTGGTTGTGGAAATCGGTGGTTAATAATCCCTATAAAGATGATCAGTTTGGTGAGAAGGTTCGAAGCATGTTTCAAATTAAAGTGAGTAATGGGATGAGCATCAGGTTTTGGTTCGATATTTGGGCTCTAGATCTCTTTTTTTGAATCAGTTTGGGATGTTAAATGAGTTTGGTGAGTTTAAATCTTCATGGTGGTTTTGGTATGTGCAGTTGAGAAGAAACCTGTG